TATTATTATTATTATTAAGTCAGTATATTGCTGACACAAATACTGGGATATAGACATGATTAGCTCATAGAGCTCTAACTAGAGACAGAAGATGGGCAACCGCCATGACAACAATTTGCACCTACTTTGTGGTGTGCTTAAGTAGGGAGAGCCACCATGATGTAGTGGTCTGGATGTTGGAATAAAACTCTGGAGTTGCTGTTGTTGTGTGCCTTCAAGTCGTTTCCAACTTATGGCAACCCTAAGGTGAAGCTATCATGAGGTTTTCTTCAGAGGAGGTTTGCCATTGCCTTCCCCTGAGGCTAAGAGTATGTGACTCACCCAAGGTCATCCAGTGGGTTTTATGGCCGAGCCATGATTTGAACCCTGGTCTCCAGAGTCATAGACCAACACTCAACCCACTATGCCACTCTACCTTTCCTAAACGTTCAAATCCATGCTCAGCCATGAAAAGCCACTAGGTGATCTTGGGCAAGTCATACTCTTTCAACCTCAGAGAAAGGTAATAGCAACCACTCTCTCAACAAATCTTACCAAGAAAACCCGGGCAGAAGAGACTTGCTGGCAACATCACTTCTGGTGAGGCCACAACAAGGCAGCCAACTATATGATAAATGAGGAGGGGGTAGAGTGACCCCTCCTCATTGATCACATGGCTGGGCACCTCATTCTGATGCCAGGCAAGCAACATGTTGACAGTGGTGCTCTGTCAAGGCGGGCAGGTGGTGGTCCTTGCTTGGGAAGATGGAGGCATTGGAGGAGAAAAGTGTGTGGGGGGGTGCCACAAGTGGTTGGGCTTGGAGCTGGTGGCAAGTCGCACTGGTCCTTTAAACAAAATACCAGTGGCTGCCACCCAACCAAATCCAGTCCAACCCAGGTGTGCACACTTCTAAAAATATCAAGGTCATTCTGGAGTTTCCTGGAAGCTCCAGAGTAACTGGTGAGTTTTCTTTAATTGGATTACAGAAGTAGTTTTGCTATGGAACTGGTTGTACGCCATCTGGATTGGCTGCACCAGGTTTGAGGTGAGTACAGATTTTTTCCCCTTGCATAGGAGCCAGTGTGGCATAGTGGTTTGAGTGTTGGACTATGACCCTGGACACCAGGGTTCAACTCTCCATTTGGCCATGAAATCCACTGGGTGGCCTTGGGCAAGTCACACTTTCTCAGTCTCAGAGGCTAGCAATGGCAAACCCCTCTGAAGAAACTTGGCAAGAAAACCCCATGATAGGTTTGCCTTGTTGTTGTTGTTGTTGTGTGCCTTCAAGTCATTTTCTCATGGCAACCCTACCATGAGATTTTCTTGGCCGTAGGGTTTGGTGGTTCAACCAGTCAATTGGTTGACTGGCCGAACCCAAAGGGTGCTCAGCAATGGCTCTACTTCGTCTTGGAGAGAAGTGACCAGTGGGGTGCTACAGGGTTCTGTCCTTGGCCCATTGCTAGTCAACCTCTTTATCAATGACTTGGATGAAAGAATAGAGGGCATGTTTATCAGATTTGCAGATGACACCAAATTAGGAGGAATAGCTAATACACCAGAAGAGAGGAGCAAAATTCAAAATGACCTTAATAGATAAGAAAACTGGGCCAAAACTAACAAAATGAACTTCAATAGGAAGGAATGTACAGTGCTGCATTTAGGCAGAAAAATGAAATGCATAGATATAAGATGGGGAAATGAGACTACATGTGAAAGGGATCTAGGAGTCCTAGTAGACTGCAAGTTGAACATGAGTCAACAGTGTGATGCAGCAGCTAAAAAAGCCAATGTGATTGTAGGCTGCATCAATAGAAGTATATTGTCTAGAATTAGATCAAGAGAAGTAATAGATCCACTCCATTCTGCTTTGGTCAGGCCTCACCTGGAATACTGTGTCCAGTTCTGGGCACCACAGTTCAAAAAGGATGTTGAGAAGCTGGAGCGTGCCCGAAGGAGGGCAACTAAAATGGTGAAGGGTCTGGAAATCATGCCTTATGAGGAGAGACTGGTAGGGAGCTGGGTATGTTTAGCATGGAGAAAAGACAACAGGTGATATGATAGCCCTGTAAGTATTTGAAGGAGTGTCATATTGAGGATGGAGCAAGCTTTTCTGCTGCTCCAGAGAATAGGACACAGAACAACGAATGCAAGCTATAGGAAAAGAGATTCCACCTCGATATTAGGAGGCACTTCCTGACAGCGAGAGCTGTTCAACAGTGGAACACACTCCCTCGAAGAGTGGTGGAGTCTCCTTCTTTGGAGTTTTTTAAACAGAGGCTGGATGGCCATCTGTTGGGGATGGTTTGATTTTGAGTTCCTGCATGGCAGGTGGTTGGACTGGATGGCCCTTGGAGTCTCTTCCAACTCTATGATTCTAGGACCCAGAACAGTGGATTCAAACTAGAGGAACAGAGATTCCACCTCAACATTAGGAGGAACTTCCTGGTAGTAAAAGCTATTTGACAGTGGAAGACACTCCCTCGGAGTGTGGTGGAATCTGCTTCTTTGGAGGTTTTTAAACAGAGGCTGGATGGTCATCTGTCAGGAGTGCTTTGATTGTGTGTTCCTGCATGGCAGAATGGGGTTGGACTGGATGGCCCTTGTGGTCCCTTCCAACTCTATGAGTCTATGATTCTATAAGTTGGAAATGACTTAAAGGCACACAGCAACAACAAAAGATGCATCCTCAGCCAAGAAATCCACAGCTGCCCTGAGTTTACAAGAACAGAGCAGGGCAATTAATGACTGGGATCTTGGAAGTTTCTCATTCAAAGGATCACCATAAGTCAAAGGCAATTTGATGGCAAATAACAACAATAGCAAAACCTCGCCTATTTCCAGGAAACCATCCATGTTGTTGGTTCATTCACCCTTTTATAAAACTAATGTTGACTGGGTGGGAGGGTAGAATTCCCTGTGTCTTTGTTTGTTTGTCAGTGAAAAGAGAGCTTTTTTATTCATGCAAACATTGAACTACTGAGCTCACTGAGGAACAGGCTTTTAACTGGATGAATGCCTTTTTTCCCCCTTTCCCTTTTATTAGTGTGCTTCTAAACTGTGTTTTAAATGTTGCACGCTTTTATCCATTTTCTTCGATAATTTTCTCGTGTTTGTACTATTTATTTTTTTAAAAAAACCTGGATCCCATTTGTGGAATATAAACCAAATACCGGTAAATGTAGACGAACAAACAAAACACTGGCTATGAAGGCATTATCCTCCAACTTTGATAGTCCCTGTTACTCCTCTGTCATCCCACTTTTTCAGCAGCTTTTAAAATGTCCCAGTTTCTTTCTTCTCCCACTTTCCCCCTTTGTCCTCAGCTTAATTCATTTGCTGCAACCTGAATTCAAAATGCAATCGTAGTTTGCATCCAATTAATAACTTGTGCCATCTTGACCACACTCTGCCATATGTGTGCCAGTTTTCATCTGTGAAATATTGGAGGGTACGTGGAGTCTGGTTGGCAATAGAAAAGACTCAACTCAGTGGACACAAGGTCACAATGGAGTGAGGACTTCCAAACAGAGTGTACTGTGGTTCACATTCCAAATCCCTCAATTCTGATCTTCCATGATTTGCCGCATTGCTAATGCTGCCTCCATGTGTGGATGGCCTATGAGCTCAGTTCAGGTTTGGGGTCTAAGGCTGACCCTCACAGTTTCCTCCGTGATCCCTTTCCCCCACACATTCATTTGATGTTTTCCCTTGCTTTTGTATGCAGTTCTTTTTCCTCATTCTGAAACTATTTCTAAATGTTCAATAGACATTTTAAGTTACTGAAATGCTGGAAATTTGGGACATGGACAAAACTTGGAGGGGGAGGCAATGTTCTCTAACCATGCCCTTCTTCTCCAAAACCCTATAGCAATATCATACCCTGGAAATGTCCCAGTTTGGCAGAGCCAGTCCTGATTAATCCACTGTTGTCCAACTTTTTCAATTGCTTTTAATATGTCCCAGTTTCTCTCCTCCCACATTCCTCATTTGTCCTCAGCTTGCTTCCATTTTTTATACTCAGATAAAAGCAAACTGCTACAGTCTCTCCTAACTAATGTGTTCTTTGTCACTTTTTGCCATCTTGGCCACACTGTGAAGTTGTTTGGCCACATGTTCCCTGGTTTTCATCTGCAAAATGTTGGAAGGTCTACAATATATGAGAGCCAGCATGGTATACTGATTGGAGCATAGGACTAGGACTCGTGGAGATTGGGGTTTGGTTCCCTGCTCAGCCATGGAAACCTTGGATGAGTCACACACTCTCAGCCTCAAAAACCCCTGTGATAGGTCTGCCTTAGGGTAATCATAAGTCAGAACCAACTTGAAAACACACAATATAATATACAACAACAGGTTGAACTTCCATGCCCTAGGATAAGGTGGCATTTTGAATTACTGGAGAAGAATAAACTAGGTGATAAGCTATGATTTTTGGATATCTCAGCTCTCAATACTGTACAGGTACTTTCAGCTCTGACCATTCCTCCTACCTTGTTTTTTCCACTGTCCTCAGACTTTCTCTTGTTGCTTTATGAGCAAAGAAGGATGTACAAGATTCTGCACACTTAAGCATCCGCTGTAAACCACAATTCTGTAAGTGATCCAAAGGTCTTTGTAAGAACCAGATGACGTTGGGAGCCATCTGTTCTGCCTTCTATCCCCAGGAAGGAGAGCATTTGCATTCAATGAGCCATGTCACAATTAGCAGGAGTAAGCAGAGTTTATTAAAGATTGAGTAACCCCAATTTTCCAAACTACCAAAGCAAAAACAACAACAAAGAAACCTTCCCTTTTTGAGTATTGTACTCTAAATCACACAGGCAGGTGGAACTATGCATAATCCATAAGGCTAATCTACGATCCAAAGTCACTTTGAGGTGGGAGGAAGGAATGGAAATAGATCACACTGCCAGTGTTAAGTGCTGTGTTATGCAGTTTATAGCCCATCAGTGCAACTAACATGGCAGAATTGACTTCCTCTCTGTTTGGTTTCCAGAGAATTACAGCAGAATCAATGCAGGCTGTAAACATGTACACATGTTATTTAGGCTTGCCATTTCTTGATTTAAAACAGTCCTTGGGCTCATTCCCACTTACATTTAATCTGATTTGTGAATCGTGTTGACACCAGGTTGCTGATTCGATTGAAGTCAGTGTGCTGTTCCCACTATAGAAGTGAATCATGTCCTAAGTCCGTGTCATTCCCTCTATCAACATGCAGTAAGATGGAGGAGGAGGAGGAGGAGGAGGAGGAGGAGGAGGAGGGCAGGGCACCTCATCCCAAGGGCCTTGCCAGGCCATGCACAGCCAGGATATTGGGGAGGCCCAGTGCACCCACCAGCAAGAAAGAGCCCCCAGGGCTCCTTTCTCTTGCGCACATGCTTTGAGCCGCTCTTGGAGGTCCTCCCATCTGCCGCAGGCCCAGCATCTGAGACT